TGAGGAGCTGCTCTTGTTTGCAGGCTTCCTGGCGCTGCACCCGGGAGATCAGCTCCTGAAGGCGGAGCTGGACGGAAGCTTCGGTGGCGGGCAGAGGGTGGGGGGGGCGGAGGAGGGGGGGCGAGGGGGGAGGAACTCAGTTGGTTCGCCTGCACGCGCTGCATCTTGTCTTGGATGATGTCATGAATGATCGCCTGGCCATGGGTCAGCACCACAGGCAGGCTTGGGCATCGCGGCATCGCGGCATCGCGGCATCGCGGCATCGCGGCATCGCGCGCTTCTTTTCCGCATCGCTGCCTGGAGTTAAAAAGCGGCGACGTCTGAGCAAGGCCCGGCTTCGGGTGTGGGAAAACAGCACAAGGCGGCACCCTACGGGCGAGCCGAAAGGAACAGCCAGGTACCCACATGTAGCCATGGCTGAGCTAAGCTAAGCTGAGCGAGCGCGTGCTCTTCACACACGTTTGTCGGCTTCGTCTTGCAGAGGTGCTGCCTGGAGCAAGCAGGTCTTTGGCAGCAAACATGTTGGCACTGTAAATGACAACGGTGATCTCAGCGATCTATTCTTGTTACCATGCCAATCCCTGAAAGCAACAAGCACAAAAACTGCTGGTCGCAGTTCTTCCCACAAGGCAACCCGGACCTCCTCCTTGTTGAGGATCGGCTCCTTCTCCTTGGCATTCTCCTTGGGAGCTTCCATCATGGACGCGATCCTCAGATGGCCAAAGTTGTCCCCTGGCCGGGAAATCACCGGCAACTCATGCACCGCCGGCTGACCCTCTGGTTCAGTACTTGCCTTGCGCTTTCGCGGGGACACCTTCAGATCATGGGCGGGTGCAGTTGTTGCTGCATGCAATGTGCCATGCATACCATGGGCGTTCGGCAAACAGAATGGCAAGCACCAACAAAAAGGACCGCAAAACTCTGTTCATATGTTGTTGAAACTTCCCCTACCAGCACCCAGAGTTGGCCAGGTTGCGACTTGTAGAACAGAGCGGAGAAGATGACCATAAGACCCAGAATCTGCAGCATGGTCACGGGGTTGCTGTACTTCGCCTCAGTTGAATCCATCGTTTTAATGCATCGTGTGAACGGCCGATGCGTAACACATGAGTGCATCCAAAAATGGGTCAGGGGCATAGGAGACCAGGATGGACACCACCTGGCGCACGTTCATCGTGGCCGCGAAGACCAGGGCCCCAAACTCCTTGATCTGCGAGTAGATGAAGAACCTCAGGCGACTGGCTGGGGTTGCCTCAAGCAGCCAAACTCTAAATAGACATCTAAAGAATGGACACCCCCAAAAGAATACTCCAGCCCTCAACCCCAAATCCGTGGAGCCGTCGTGATTAACTGTGTGATGTGCGTTCAAAAGCTTCGCAAACTTGCACTCATGCCGTGTGTGCACGGCAAAGCCAGGACCAAGGCCGCACCCGTAGGAACCAAGATCGAAGCAGGGTGCCAGGTGACTGGCTGGCCACGGCGGAGCAGCTCAAGAGCGCGGAGTCCAGCCAAAACTGGGGGTGCTCCATGCCAAAGGCCAGCGCCGGCGCCAGGTCCCCCGTGGCCTCGACTGATCTGATTCTGAGCGTCTGAGCGTCTGAGCGTCTGAGCGTCTGACAGCTTGGCTGTGCAATTTCCGGTGCGCAATTTTCGTCTCAGTCTGAGGCCAACAAGGTGATGATGGAGACAGTGGCAGAGAGAAGGTTGATGTACAGCATCTGGTTGTACTTTGTGGTCTTGTGCTCCTGCCAGGTGAGGCCGTTTTCAGGGTTGGTTTCAAGGGCAACCAAAAGGAAACCGCCGATTTCGGGGTCCTATCTTAGCAAACCCTTTTCATTCGCGGCTCTCCGCGCCTTGAAGAGCTTCTCTTGGAATGTGGAAGTGAGCCCATCCAGGGCCAAGAACCCGCCCAGCAGGAGAAAGCCCTGCAAAAATCGAGGCGGCTTGGCGTTTTGCCCCTTTGTCTCTTGCACGGAACTGCGCGAGCCTTGAAGCTGTTCGCCGAGTCCACTTTGGAATGCGTGGGGCCTCTCTCCCAAGACGGGAAACAAATCGCGCATGGCGCGAGAGGCGGCAATGCGTGTGTATGAGAAGGATGTTGTTCTCCGGCTTTTTTTGCCGGGGGGAGGGGGGGGTGGGGGGGGGGAGCCATTACAAGCCACCTCTTTGCTCTCGCGGCCTGTCATCAAGAACTCCGTGCATCCCAAAGTCACAGCGAAGGCCACCGTCCAGTCGCGCATGCCTCAGGGAGGGCACCGCGAACGCCTTCCGAAGGGCGTTAGACACATGCAGCCGGTCCGTAAGACTTGCCCGCGATGATCATGCCCCAGATCATGACGGGCATCCTAAGGCATCTGTCACTCTGTGCATGCGAAAAGGCTGCTTGCTACATTGCTAGTTGGCCAAGATGCATTTTGAAGCTCTTTCCCAGCATTTGCACAGCAAAGGACACGTACTTCAAAGCCTCGCAGCCGAGGCTTAAGTGAAGCTTAGCGCCTGGCCGCATGGAAGTGCGCCTGCCTCATACTGGCAGGAACTGGCGTAGACGTTTGAGAGGGAGACGATCAAGTACTTCCACAAGGGTGCCTCCGATCCGGACATTGCAATGCCTACCTGCCCACTGCCATAGTGAACAAGCGCCTGAGACGGTCAAACATGTCTCCACGGTAGGCAGTGGGGCGGGGTTTCACAGGGGCGTGCTGGCTCCCCCTTCCTCGTTGGCCATGCTCTCGCCCTTCATCTTGGCCTTGGATAAGCCAATCTGGCTTGGAGAGCTATGACGGGTTTGGATAGTCCAAGCTGCCATCACCAGGGCAAAAGCAACAGCGGCCAGGCGGTTGCAAAGAACCAGGAAGACCTAATGCAACCCGCCCAAGAAGGAACACAACACATGTACATCTCTGAATCTAAATCCAGAGCACGGAGTACTTGAAGAGTTGGCCATCATAAGCCACGGTCATGATACCCTCCTGCGCATCAAGACTCGCCCGGAGATTTGCAGCTGAAGCTATCCGATGGCTGGCCCATGACCCGAGGGGCCCGAGGGGCCCCGGGCCCATGACAAACTGTGCGCCATGAAAGCGCCTGGAGGATGCCATAGAGCACAAGAGTGGAGATGATGCCAATGCCATAGCAGACGCACCAAGAGGCGGAAGTGGGAGACACACGGCCTCAACCCACTCTCACCTTCCGTGCCTTGGAACACCCCAACGCAACGCAATACCCGTTGCCTTCCATCGCGGTTCGCTTCACAGATAGTAGTGGAAGACTGCCGTGCGGCACTTGAGCCGAGAGCTACATTTGCAACTGCTTTGCGAACTTGTCAAACGGCAACACGGGCCAAAGCAGCTGAACTGGTCACAACCGGCCCTATCTCTCCGAAGAGGCCTGCTGGTCAGCCTCGCTGAGATCTTGCACCGATACCTATGCAGCGCAAAGGGGTTCAAATGGCGCACAGGGATCATTAAGCACTACCAAAGCCGAAAAGCACGTTTAAAAGCAGCGCGGCCAGTTTCGCAATACGGCGCTCTTGCAAGATGCACGGAGGTTCCAACATCAGCCGTCCAACAGTCCAGCCGACAATGCCATCCCCACCTTGGTGCGCTCAAAGACGTTGCCCCGCAGCACGCCGGCATAGCTGCGGCGCACGCATGGCACTGCCATCTGCAGCTCGAAGCCAATTCAACAAAATATTTGGGTATGGGTCAAAATTAACCACCAGGGAACCGCAGGATTTAGTCCTTGTTTCCATTCACCAGGGTTCCATTTTGGGTACCGATTATTGACCCACAGCCATTTCTCTGAGTCAACGCATGAAGCCCTCTAGACCAGGAGGTAAGGTCGCTAAGCTCTTCTGATAGGTGGCACAGGAGGCTCGCTCGGTGGAGTAAGGATTTTGGCTTGGAAACCCATGAGCGGTGCGGCTGCAATCGGCGCGAGGCGCTGGTGATGCTGAAATGCGCTTCGAAAGGAAAACTGATCACTGGCAAGAAAGGCGAAAAATCAATCACGCCCAGTTGCCTCAAGTTTGGTGCGACATGATCAAGGCTGCCGGTGCGACATGATCAAGGCTCGCCGTGTCGCTTGCGGCCGTGTCTTCCTTGGAAAGCCTTTCGATTCTTCCTCGTCCTCAAATTCAGTTCTTTGTGTCCCCTTCGAAACCACTCGAACAAACCCCTGCCCCACCTTTTCCCCCACCCCCCCACCCCCCACGAACGCCCTGGACTTGTGGGCCGGGCAGGAACTCCATCGTCTCCTTGTCCGCAAACTGGGGCGCCTCATGCGCCGCAGCCCCGGGTTGTTGCACCTGGCGCGAGCACCAGGCAGCAGCGAGGCGCCCGAGGCGCCAGGCGGGTGCCCTGGGTCCTTCGTTTCCACGTTCATACTGTTGCGCAACTGCACGCGCACACATGCAGCTTCATCGGCGTTGGTTCAGGGCATGGCCGAACACGGCGCAGTGTGCCAGGCGCCTTGTCCGCCGAAAACCTGTGCTTCGGCGCGGATGAGGTGACCGACCTGTGGCTTGTGGCGAGCCGCAAGCCATTTCGGCGTCTCGGCAGCCGACGGGGCAGCGTTGTTCACGCGCGCGAAGATGGAGCTCACCGGCCCAGCCTGACGGCCAACTCAGCGCACAGAACATCCGCGTCTGCGTGGAGATGCTACCAGGATTGCCCCGAGACGATTGCCAACACAAAGCTTTTTCCTTTTTTCGGGGCCGCCGTTTCATCTGGGCTCCGGGCTCGATCACCTCACGCACTCACGGCAGCTCATGCAGCGCACAGCTCGCAGCGCCCCAGATTCTGAGAACCGCGCCCCGGATTCGGCTCATCAGCTGGTCTAAGAGGCCCTGGCTCTCTTTCGGCAGGGGCGTTGACATATCCTGGGCGCTGGATCCGCTTGGAACCAAACGGCCTGAAATCCTGCGGTGGGGATGTTCTGCTTCTCCCTTACAATACGTTCCTTTCGGGGCATGCTTCGGGGTCCACTTGAGTCACAACCAAAACTCGGTAGTAACATGGGCTTACCCAGAATTCCCGCAGCGGCCGCACCCATTGACTGGGATTGGCCCTTGCTACCCTCCAATTAACCAGGTTTTGAGTGTGACTCACCTGGACAAAGGGTACCTTTGCACCCCACCTCGTTGTCTGAAGCCGTACCAGCGCGTGAGAGCGACCTCAAGGTGCCCACAGCCACACAGAATGGAGGCTATGACCACTGAGCTGATCCCACAAAGGAAAGCCAAGCGTTGGACATCATGCAGGTGAGAATTCATGTCCACCAACCACTTACCCTTCCTCCCGCTAACATGGCTTTTGTGGGGGGATATTTGGAAGATAAGTTTCCTCTGAAAGGGACCCGCTGTCAGGTGCCAAGTGCAACAGAGGCCGCAGCTCGGCCGTGTAGCGCGAATTCAGCCAGTCCACCCGGGAAGCCTCAGGGCAAAGGAGCAGACAGCCCGGCAAAAGGAGGTGAAATGTGAGATTATTGCGTTGATATAGGCATATACGGTTGAAAAAAAGTATGGTCTTGTGCTTTCTTTTGTTTGTCTGTCTATCTATCTGTCCATCTACCTATTATCTTACCTATCCACCTATCTATCTACCTATATACCCATCTGCCTACCAATTCAGCCTGTAGCAATAATAAAGACGACATGCAAACAAGTGGCGTTCGCAGATGCTTCATCTCTCGAGATCAGCGCCTGGGGCGGGCAGCCGACCCAAACTTGGCGCCTGCTTTCACGCTGGCGCCTTGTAGCCAGAAGGCTGGAAGGTGCTCCTAGCGTGCAGCAGCGTCGCCCTGTGCTCCACAAGCATGGCCAAAAAGAGGACCTGTGCCAGTTCTGACGGCATTGGCGAAAAACGAAAGCTTCAGGCGCCCACGTAGAGGCAGGCCTCAGTCGCCAGGAAACATCGAAGCACCCAGGAGGGGAATCTGATTCATGGTGCGGCCTAAGCCCGTCCAACCCGCAAAACCCAAGATTTCCCAAAGATCTTCCCAGCAAAAGGGAACCGTTTTTCAAAATCGCTGCCGAACGAATTGAGGGCTAAATCGATTTTTCCCAAAGATTTTCCCAAAGACATTCCCTTGGAAACGTGGACTTTCAGTGCTGATCGCTCTGAGTCACGCGGACTCGAGCGAGCCCCGGGCCATTAGCTGGTCCAGCGTCCAGGCGTAGGCCACGTAGGGCGCCGTCACGCAGGACACCGCCACGAAGACTCGGGGACGGACGCACGCCCCGAGCCACGAGCCACGCGCCCGGCTTCTTGACCGGGATTTGCTCACATCTTTTAGTCTCTTCTCATATTCTACAGGGGTGGAGTCACAATCACAAGCCCCATCCAAACCGTTCTCTAGACGGTCATCCGAACTGATCACATTCATTGGACCTGCGGCTTGCCGGGCCGGGGCCGGGGCCAAGCAAGATCCATGTATTGAGGCCAGCGGCTGCCATAGTCTGGGCAAGGCTCAACGCAAGCAAGCTGGATTCTGCCGGCTCCGGGCTTTGCAAACTGCCCATTTGGAGTGCCAAGCTCAAGTATCTTCTCCAAAGTTGGCAAGCTGGGTATCAAGTCAGCAAGCCGTCACTCCCAACCCCTGACGTTCTTGGCTTCAGATCCTCAGGTCCCTGCCAGCGTTGCCAAGACCTGAGCCCACCCCGACGGCTTGACCGGAGGCTCGCCGGGCTCGCCGGACACGGCTCTAGCTCCAGGCCGGCCCCGCGGCATTGGCAAGGCTCGCGGGCTCAACGGCAAAGACCTCGTGCCAGTGACGCATGGCCTGCCTGACTCACAAATGGGTCTGAGCCACGGGCGCTGTGAAGCGGGACGTAGGACCCAAAAAGAAGGCAGAAGACAATGTCCTGACCAGTGAAATCGCGAAATCTGAGACACTGGGCAGCTTCCCGCACCGTTGCCACATGGCTCTATCTGTCAGGATGTCCTAGCCTTTTCCTAAGCCCAACACTGATAAAATCCATGCTTGCGGCAGCGAAGTCATCATGAACATTGTCGCCTCAGTCAGGCAATGTTGGGTGCCCAGGGCAGGATCCGGAGCCAAGGTGAAAAATCGAGTTCCTGCTAGCCTGGGCTTCCGCACAGCAAGCGCAGCCTTGGAACGAATTGATGGACAGCACTGCTAGTAAGCATGCGGGCATCAGAAGCGCTCACCCACGATGCCTCCCCAAACTCAACACACCAACACCCCTAATCTTCCGAAATGGAAACTTACGTGGACATTGCCCTTCCTCCAACATGACCTTTCGGAACCCCCCCCCTTTCTGTTTGGTGAATCAATGTCAACCGACCAACCAGGCCATTGGTGAGACAGGTGAGATGTGAAACCTGACCCGGTCACCGCCCGGTCAAGGAGGCCAGGTCTTCCTCCGTCACCACGGGGAAACGCCTCAGTGCGTCTGTTGCGGTCTCAGACGGGGCCGGGGGTCCGGCGCTGCGGCCAAGGGGCTTGGCGAAGCTCGAAAAATTCCGGTCCCGCAGCAGCGCGAAGACCACGCAGTGAAACCTGGGTGGAAGCCTTCACGCGATGTGCGACAACTTGTCCGTGTTTGCTTGCTGGGGGGCAGCAGGCCAGCAACGGCAAATTCTTGGCGCCAAGACGCACGCCTTTGAACTCTGTGTTCAAAACGTCTTCGCAGGTATCAGCGACAGCTTCTGGCGGATTCCCTGGAGCACTCTCCCCCGAAAGCAACTCAAATCCTATGAGAAGATGAGAACTTAGAACCTCAATAACTGGAGCAACTGGACCAGCTGCTTACCCTTCAGCGATTGCTGCCTTCTTTCAGCTTCGTCCAAGCAGCCGAAATATCCGCAGCCAAAGGCTCCCAGCACCACGGCATCATGGCCTCAGCTTCGTCCGATGCCATGCCGCCCACATTTGCACGAGATGCGAGCGAGGCACCCTGGGTCGCAGCGACCCACAAAGTTGTGCGGATCTTCTCGCGCAGCAGGTCTTGGCCTCAAAACATGCCGAGCCAGGTCTCTTCACGAACTCTTCATGGACCCTTCCACCGGTGATTTCCTGGAGTCCGCCTCAACCCCAGCAGTGCTGACGGGGAGCCTCATTACTCATTATACATCCATGGCATTTCGGGGGAAATGTTGGTTTTTCAGGTGACCTTCCAGAAAACACCTGGAATGCCGTTGTTGCGGGTCAGCATGATGTGCCTTGAGACCGTGGAGTTGCTAAGTGGTTGGTAACCCCAAATTAACCCTCGAGTTAAACCCTGTGAATACTTGTGACGGTTGCTAACCATTTAGTGTCCCTCCAGGCTCCACAACATAATATTTCGCCAAGGAAACTCACTTTAAATCGGTCCCCCGATATTTAAAACTTAAACCACGGGTGCCAAACACAAAAGCATTTCGCTCGGCTCCCGGCGGAAAGGCTTGACACGGCCCACGTCCTGCGCGGCCACGGTCAGCACCGCCACCTTTGGGCAGCGCCCCACGTCCGATGCCAGGCCCTCCACGATACGTACCTCGGAATTCCCGCCGAGATGCGCGCAGGTTGCTTTCGGGCTGAAAGCCAAACAAACAAAACACGAATTGTCCATGAAAGAGGATTCCTTGCCCCAAATATAAGATGCGGATAAAGTGATCACTTGAACAGAGCATGCTTCTGGGGAGGCAGCTGGAGAAATGGGATGGCTTCTTACTTCAGAAGGGTAAGGGGATCGATTCTCCGATTGTCCTCAGCGGTTGCACAATTGAAGCAAACAAAAGTTGACGACCTGCTTGCTTCACAAGACATCGGATCTTGAGACTCCTATTGCTGAATCTGCATTACCCTTGAGGCAATTCAAGCATGAAACGTTGGAGAGTTGCACAAGGGACCCATATCAAGCCCGCTTTGTGGCTGCGAAATGGGCTTACCAGCAAAAGGCCCGCTTTCCCTGACTAGTTGGGGCAGTGACTCACGGCTCTCCCTGTCCTCTCTGTCAGGCCCCTTTCGCCCTCTCAGGCCAGCATTAAATGCTCGCGGACCGTCCGAGGAAGACGTGAGAGCAGTTCCAAGGCATTCATGGAAGGCTCTGCTTGCAACACGCCAAGCGCCGGCTGGTCCAGATTGCTTCGCTGCAAATGGGCGAGCATGGACTCCAGGATCTTGGCGCCGTGCTCGTGCAGCGACCACATCTTCCAGCTGCATTCGAGCACTACGAGGCTGGACCCACTGGGCCCACTGAAATCTTGGGACACGGGAAAACCTTGAAGCCTGCGCCTCAGCAAAAGGCTCACCAGCTGGAGGGCACGCGCGCTTCGGCCGCCGGTATCCAGCAGAAAAAGCGGCATGGAGTATTTTAGGCGCATGAAGATGCACAAAGCCAGCAGGGCCTCGGGCAAACTAAAGTCAAAAGGAATGTCCGTTTCCCGGGAGTCCGGCAGCCCTGCAATCATCGCTAGGCGATCCCAGAGTTGCTTCTTGGTAGCCGTGTGGGTGAGGAACCTCACGTCATTCCTCAGAGAAACTGCACTTTTCAAATGGGACTGGCAGGCATGCATGGCGAAATATATATATATATATATATGTGTGTGTGTGTGTCATATGTGTGTGTATGTGTATATATATATATATATGTGTGTGTGTGTATGAATATATGTGCATCAGTCTATGTATATGTAGATTGGGGGTGGCCCCGGACCACTAACAGTGAGCACAAATAGGAGCACAAAAAAAGCACCACAAAAAACAAGCAACTTTGCTCTTTTTAAAAATTAGGTACTCGTGCAGGTCTGAAACCTAAATTACTCGTTCTGCATCTTGGGGGATACAGTGATTCAAAGACTATTTGCACTATGACTTATTAGCCCAGATACAATGGGAAAGTTAAATAGGCACACGCAACACGACGGCTAGCGTGGCTGTTGCAACATTACCTTTCCGTCCTTCCTTTCTGTTTGGCTTGGTCGCTGCTCACAACACCCCCTCCCAGTCAACCTCCCCCCAGCGTAAGCCAGAGCCTTCCAATTCACAGCCCCTCCCGGCCTTCTCTCAGCCTCCGCTCCCGACCTCCTCCCTGCCAACCAAGCTGCCCTCACCCATCCAGCCCTCCCCCCCCAAACCTCCTTCTTTACCTGCAGCCCTCACCCAAACCCCCCACCCCTCACGCAAACATCCAGCCCACAGCACCCCTCCCCTCCGTCTGCCCTTCTCACCAACCTTCTGTCTGTGCTTTCTTAACGCATTTTTTAATTTTTTAAGGTGTCCCGGGAGGCCTGGGGGGGGGGGTCCTGGGGCAAGTAATTTGAATTTCGCGGTCTGAAGGGAACGTCATTTTGAAAAACCGGCCCGCCGGCCAAGTTTTGCGGTGCTTTTTTTGTGCTCCAATTGGAGTTTTGCGGTGGTCCTTGTGCTTTTTCTTGTGGGTTCCGTGGTGGTTTTTTTTTTGTGCTCCCGCTGGTGGTTTCCCGTGATGAAAAGTAGTAGCGGAGTCCGGGCGGGTGGTAATTGGGGTTTTGTGGTGGTCCCTTGTGTTTTTTCTTGTGGGTTTCGTGGTGCTTTTTTTTGTGCTCCCGCTGGTGGTTTCCCGTGATGAAAAGTAGTAGCGGAGTCCGGGCGGGTGGTAATTGGGGTCTTGTGGTGCTTTTTTTTGTTTTTTTTTGCGCTTTTTCTTGTGGGTTTCGCGGTGCTTTTTTTTGTGCTCCCGCTGGTGGTTTCCCGTGATGAAAAGTAGTAGCGGGGTCCCTCTGGAGGGTAATTGGGGGTTTGCGGTGCTTTTTTTTGTGCTTTTTCTTGTGCTTTTTTGGTGTTTTTCTTGTGCTTTTTCTTGTGCTAGTTTTACGCTTTCCTCAGTGCGGGAGCCGGCCGGAGTCAGTGCCAGCTCGGCCAGCTCGGCGCTGGCGCCAGCTGGGCCAGGGGCCAGCTGGCCTGGCCGGGCAGGGGGGGCTGCCAGCCAGCAGACTGGCCTGCAAACAGCTGTCTAGGTCGCAAGGGCAAACGTGGCAGTGGCTCCCCTGGCCCTGAACCTGTCTTTCAGGACCTTGGGCTCCTCCACCAGGCCCACAAACGGAAGAAGCTGAAAGACAAGACGCTCCAACGTGTTTCTGGGCGAAGCGGCCAGCTCCGCGCTGACTGCACCACTTTCTGCCTGCTTTGGATTTCGCTCTCTGTCAGATCAAGATGTCAGAACTTGGTGTTAGCGTTAGCGACTTGCATTCAACTTGCAGCGACGGCGGAAAAGTGGTAGTGATAGTTGCTGTCTAGGCCAATGTTTATTTGCGATATATGTTTATGCTATGTCTATGTCTCTGTCTATGTTTACGACTCCTGAACCAGCTTTAAGCTTTTCCTAGGTCTCCTAAATCCTAATGCACCTACAGTCCAGTGATAGAAACCAGTAGGGACAGAACCGTATTTGGGCCTGGGCATGAAAAGACACCAGTCTACTCTCCACTGCATCATCATATAGACCAAACAAATACGCAACCTAAAATTGGTGGGGCGTGCTTACCCAAAACCAATTTTGGGCTTGCTGGTGGTCATTTTTGCTGAGGTATTATGTATAAATGGCTTTATTTAACTGTTAGTGCTCGGGGGCACCCCCCAATATGTAGACATATACACAGACTTAACCCCTTCGCCAACCATCTCCCAAAAAAAAGAACAAAAAGAAGAAGCTGCATGCCTCAAAAGCCGAGCTGCAGCTCTAATGACGCCCTCTGCTGCGAATGCATGCAGTCCTCTATGCAGCCCGGCCCTTGGAAAACACAGACCCCCACAACTCCGCCATGGTTACCTGACAGCCGGGTTGGGCAACATCAACCATAAAAGGGAAGCCGGAAGGAGAAAAAGAAATAAACCAACCCCTACATTTCCGTGTGAAGAAACACGGAGGTTGTAAGCATCGTGACTTCAACATCTTTCAATTGGCCAAACCCTGCCTGACAGGAGCGGGAAGACTAAAGGGTGCCGAGCCCAGTCCCACCAGCGATTGCTCCGGCGGTCGCCTGGCGACTCCCACCAGTTGATGCACGGCGGCTCCAGGAACGTGGCGATGGAGCTCCAAATCGGGCCTAGCGCACGCCCATCCGTCAGCTTGCTTTCAAATGGGAACCACGGGCTTTCTTTGATGTTTCTCTCTCTCTCTCTCTCTGTCTCTTTTTTCACCACCACAACCAAACCCAAAGATCTCTCGAGTCACTCCGCCTGGGAGCCGCGACTTCCGCTCGAAGTGCAGGCCCCAGCGCTTGGCTAGGAGAAGGGGCTGCAGGAAGAACTTCCGGGGCAGCAGCTGGCACCGCAGCGTGGACACCGTCCAGCAGGTCACCCCCTCCTTGAGCCGACGCATGCCCTGGTCCCAGTGCAGAAGCTCCTGGCCGTGAAAAACAATGCAGGGGAGACAAAGTGGGCCCCCAAAGAAAGTGGCGCCCCTTCATTCGAAAAGAACTTTGAAGCGCACAACAGGTCACCCCCATCCCCCCAAAAAGAACACGCAACAAAGCAAGAAGGGCGGGGTCCTGGAGATTGAACATGTTCCAAGTCTCAAAGATGAGGAGCTGCTTGGCCAAGGCGTGCGCGAAGCGCCGTTCTGTGGCCTCGGAGCCTCGCAGCACGTCCGGCTGCCAGCAGCAGCTCCGCAGCAGCCGCGTTACCTCTGAAGCGGCCACCGGCACACGCAGGGCCTCCTGGGGCTGGGCTGCCAATTGGGTGGGGTCGGGGAATGGGGACACAAAAAAAGCTGTGGTTTTTGGGCTTGGCATTTGGCGGGAAAAATGTGGAAAAAATGTGGAAAAGGGCAGGCAAAAGGGGCGGGATTGCAGGACGGACATACATTCTGACACTGGCCTGGGTGACAGCTTGTACATGGGAGCTGTACATGGGATTGGCGCTGAAGGTTGGTGGAAAGAACATGGAAATGAGATGCTACTTACTGACCCGAATCCTTCCGAAAATCCAGACCGCATTCCCTCCCCCCAATCAGGAAAACCGTGAGGTTCCCCCCTGCCCAACCTCCACACACTGTTTCCCAGATGGGGGAAAGCGTGTAAAGAAGGGTCCTTTCCTCTGTCGGAAACCGCCTTGGCATTGAGTGAAATCGCCCCCCTCTCCAGAACCCTTACAAACTGCCGCGTCAGTCCTCCAAAACCCAGGACGGGTCAAAGGTTGGCCACCCGGGCCGAAAGGACTTGCGCTCCACCGCCAGGAGGAACCTTCGGCCAACTCAATCCAAGGGAAGGGTAAGAAACCTCGCGCTGGGGTTGGTCCACACTTAGCAATGTTGGGGGGGTTGCCATTCTAGAGCTTCGGGGGAGGGGGGGGGTTAACACTGCCAACGAAGAGCGAACCAAACCTCCATCCCACCAACTGCGGAACACAACGGCAATGCAACGCGCCTGACTGCAACCTCGACCAAGTCTTGCTCACACGATTCGGGTGAAGCCATGGCGCAGGCATGGCTGGCTGCGGTGTCACAAGTTGTTAGTGCTGAATATTCCTAGTTCTGAACATGTGGAAATGACTCCGAGAAACGACTGGCGCAGTCACTGGATCCAAACCGAGATACATGGGCTGATCCAACTCTAGTGCAAGGGCAAGTTGTCGAGCCGAATCGCCGCAAGAAGCCATCAACCAATCTGATCTGTTGCTACAACTCCACAAGCTGAATTGAGATTTGGATACCCAAGTAAATGACTTTTGCCATGGTGAGCTCGTTTTACCCTTAGGTAAGCTCGCTACAAAATAGGCAGATCAACGCCGCCACCAACTCCCCTTCTGCGAGCGCCCGCCAAGGAAAGGCCCCATCCGGTTGCCCAGCCGCGTGCGGCGAGTATATTGCACCGCACTCCGTGTGCTCGTAGAAGGGCTCCTACGACCAACCCCCCCCCATTGACCAAGATGGCCCATTTTTTGCCACGCGATGTCCCGATGTCCCCTCCTTGCGGGGCAGCGCCGCGTCGAAGTCCCCGATCCAGGCGCCCCGCCGCAGCACCCCGGGCCCGTCGTCCTCCCCAAGCTGTATGAGCGCAGCCCCCCCCAGTCAGAGTTGTTCTCTCCGCTCAGCGCCTTCCGGCGATGGGGCCAAAGACTCAGAAAGATCGACGTGCTGCGGAAGATCGCCTCTTCCTGGCTGCCGCCCGCATGCTCGAAGCCTGGCAAACGGCTACAGCGCATGCAAGCCATTCATGCCACGCGCGCACACACCTCCACCACAGTTGTACCCATGCGCAAAGCTGAGGAGGACAACGTTGAAACCAACACCTGCCATCTACAGGATAGGAGACCAAAATAAGTGCTCTTAGAACCTTCTTGTCTGTTAAGGTATTTTTTGAGGGCTCTGAGCACCCGTCTGACTCTGCCGGGGGAAAGTAAGTGTGTGGATCCTCTCCTGGCACTCGCCCCGACACGACACGCATGGCCAAGCTGAGGCGCCCACGCTCCAGCAGCTTAGCTGCGGCCACGGTGTCCGCCTCCAGCACCCCGCATCGCGAGGCTCGCGAGCCGGGAACCGTTTCTGGCGCGGGGTGCCTCAAGAGGCTGTGGCTGGACGGGGACGGGCGTTTGCGAGGAGGGCAAGTGGGGCAAGTGCCGACTAGAAGCTCCATGGTGAAGGTATAGTTCTCTGCTTGTTCCATCGCTTCCCGCTCCTCCTGTGGCAGGCTCAGCAAATAGCAGATTGTCTCACGCCTGCGGAACGGGTCAGCGAGCGAACAAAGCGAGGAAACGAAGCCACTTGAGGATCTGGCATTCGGATCTCCGGCTTGGAGAGGGCCCGAGCGCTTGCGCCCTTCCCGGCCATGGCAGAGGCGGTGCTACCCATGCAAAAGCAAAGGAAGCACACCGGGCATGAAATGCTTGGACGCCTGGGGGCAGCGTGGCCCAAAGATTGCGTCTCTGTACGTGTGTGGGTGCGTTGCCTGCGTGGTGCGCATCGCAAGTGTCGAGTTGCTGGCCGTGCAGGCTGTAGCTGCCCCTTCGGTAACCCATGTCTGACTGCATTCCAGCTTGGCTATCTGGGGCTCGTGTTTCACTGTGCTTCAAATGTCTGAGGCCAAGAGCAGACGGCCCTGAAGCGCAAAGGCTCTGCAATCGGACTGAGGCCGCTGCATCCATGAACATCAACTCATGATTGCCCCGGTCCGTTGCCAGCGCGATGATCCCCGGCAGCGGCCTGGCATCGCAGAATCGCAGAATCGCAACGCAGACGCCACGCCCAGCGAAACCCGTCGCTCCGCGCTCCGCGCTCCGCGCTCCCGGTGGCTGGGCTACCCGGCAGCAGCAGGCGCCAGAGATCCCGGCGGCTGGCGCTGGAGGCCAGGAAGTCCCGGTCGAAGCAGGTGTGCAAATACCTGGTCAAAATTAAACCACCACAAAAATCCGCAGGTGTTGTTCCATGTTTTCACCTACCAGGGATCCATTTGGTCACATATTTTTCACCCACCGCCACCTGGCGCGGCAATTCGATTCGGTTCCGCTCCCGGCCTCCGGGTCTCAAAGCATAAGATCTTGCAATCCTTGACGGAGGCCAGGCAGAAGGCCTGGGAGCCACCCGCAGGCAGCTCGCACATTCAAACGCGAATTGTACATTTCACAGTCTCAAGCTCTTTGAACGAGGTGGCACAACCGCCCTGAAGAGTTTTCCAGGCATACGAAGATGTCAAGAGAAATGGACATCACGTTGCGGTTATCTGACCCACGCGCTCGAAGACCTTTGGGCCCAAGGCACACCCCTTGAAGAACCCGGGCCAACGACTTGCAAAAAAACAACATGGATAGAAACGCAGGAAAAACAAAAAAAAAGAAATAAAAACATGCATTCGCTGAAATGCCGCTCCCGCGAAAGACTCGCGGATGCTCCCTCAAAGTGACGGATATACGCAGAGACCCCAGGTCCAGCCAAGCCGCCGCGAGGGGACCACGAGGCTCCGGGGAGCCCACGTAGTGGATGGACTCCTCGAGCGATGCCGGGATTGCGGCGCCCCGAGGCGAAGCGAAGCCCGGAGGAGCCGAAAAGACAGCGGCTCAGGGGAGCAAAGTGAACCAAGCAAGTGGGTGCCGTTTCCTGGCCCACTTCTTGCACCCTCAACCTTTGGATGCATTGCGGTGGGCTGAACATGCAGTCCCAAGACACATTGGGAGAATAGTATCCGGGATCTGGGTCCACCATCCTGCAGCTGGCTGACTCAAACGTGCCAACATTTGCATGTTTTTTTTGAGAGAAACAGGGGTCCCTTAAAAAGATTGCGTTTTTTTTTCTTTTTCTGCTACCAACTCGCAGGTAATCCCGGTTTTGAGAAACCCCGCCCAAAGCTGCTGCACTGACCCGGGCCCCCAGCCCCGCATCGCCCGCATCGCCCGCATCGCCCGCATCGCCGGCCTCCTCACGCTGGAACCCGCCTCTTCCTCCATGGCTCCGCGCAGATTTCTGAGCCATGCCCTGCGACGGCCTCTTCACGGCAAGCACTCCCAAGCCCCAAAAAGGCCCCCAGCCCAACCCCCCGCCCTTTTCAACATTCGCTGAAGGTCTCCTAGAACTCTTTCGTGATGAATCAAGCAGGGCCGGGTCCTAACGTGCCTCCTGACAAATGGAATGCTCGAGGCTTTTTTCAACCTCAGAGGGTCGTGAGCAGGGAGCTCACGGCTTTCATGATCCTTGGATGCAATGACCGCAAGCAAGATCCAGAGCAACTGACTCCCACCAATCGTCTTCCACATTATACGCACGCTTACGCTTCCATGTGTGCGTGGGCATGTCTCAGCTGTTCTCGTTCGTGACTTCGCGGCAGGTGTTCAACTTGTGTGGCCGTGGCTCCGCCTGCGGCCTTCGCCGGAAGGGCACTCCACCAGTGTCTCGCCGGGGCTGAAGAGGATCCTCAATCAAACCGAGGCAGCCTTTAAGGTTTTGCACAAGCATGAATGGCGCGGACGAAGAGGCCCGACTCAAGCCATGAGAAATAAGCACAAATAATACCTAAACAAGCAATAGGCACTTTTCACATGTTGAGTGTGAAAATAAATGAAATCTACTCTACAAATTTGTATATATATATATATATGTATATATAAGATAGCCTGCGCATTCCCGGTCCAAACAAATTGGACCTCCCAACGGCACATCGCTCGCTCATCAGCGCCTGGCACTCAGCGCGGGCGCCCGCCACTCGCCGGGCCCTCCTTCCACGGGGCAGCCCGCGTGCCGCATGGCGGCCTGGAAGGCCTCGAACGGCTGGTGGGAGGGGCGGGGGTGGGGGGGGTAGGTTGGGTAGGAGGGGTAGTGTTGGGTAGGAGGGGTAGTGTTGGGTAGTGTTGGGCTTCTTTTTCGAAGGGACGGAGCAAGCCTTCCTTTAGAGGGACACCAGGAAAACCGAAGCCTCTTTGAGGTCCAAATCCCTTGGCCATGTCACCATGGCTCCAAACAAAAATCCATGTGCTGGTTGCCCACCGACTTCAGTATCTTTCCGGCACATTTCAGCCACGCTCGCGCCTCCAAGTCCACTTCGCCAGCAAACAAAGGCGCGACGTCTGCGCGTCTGTGGGCGACACGTGGCCTGCCATGCCAAGACCCGCTCAATGAGCTGCACGCCAGCCAAGCGATCACACCAACAAGAACTATCCTAGATTGACGCGCTCCCAGTGTGGATGGGCAAGTCCGCATCCATTGTGTCCACTGGGTCAATCATCAAAAAATAGTTTCGCAAGGACATGGTCGCACCTGCTTTGCCCCAGAAGTGTGCCATGAAGCGGCAGCACGTCCGCCGGGCGCTTTCCTTGCCATGTCCATACGAATCTCCCCAAATCCCTTGACGGACAATTCCGAGCCCCCACGCCCTGGTATCAACAAATAACACAAAGCACCATGTGCCTTGCAGCCCCCCAGACACACATTTAACAAACAAAAGAGAAACTAAGCTTGTACAGCTCAAAAGTTTTCACGGAGGTGCTCCAGCCAAACATGAAGGCAAACAAGTTCGTGAGGCACTGCAAAGGCTCAGCATACCGACCGAAAGAACCAGCAGCTGAGGGCCCGGCCCGCCAGGCTGCGAGGCAGCCAGCACTCCACCCGCGGCAGGCTCCTTGGCTCGTGAGACGCCTGCCACTTTCGTAAGAAAAGTGAAGCCAAGCGTACTTCAGCCGCCCAAACTGACCTCTCACAGGCTTGTCAGCCATAATCCTAAGAACTTGTCTCTTTTTTGTGACAATCCTAGCCTTCTCCTCTCTTGTTTCTGTTGCTTGGTGTTGCCTTAGTATTGATACTTGTGACTTTTGTCAAACACGGCCGACCCAAAGATCACAGAGCTCCATGCCCCATAATTCCAAGTGGCAAATCCAGCACTACATCTGTCAGCTGCAGATATGGCAGCAGCTGCGCCTGCGGGAGAAATAAACCAACTCCGAGCTGCAAGCCTAGGCTCTGGCCCTCTCTCCCCGGTCCCCGCCTTGCAGTTGCCCGGCGTGGCGACGCCTTTCCTGCGCTCCACCCTCCCGCGGAACAAACGCCGACGATTGGTAAGCCAAGGGGCGGCAGCAGCAGCTTGGGTGGCCGCGAGGCGGAGGACAGGATGTTCACCAGCTCCTGAGCTGAGCTCTCTCAACATAGGGAGTTGACCCCAGCTCCAAAAATGGGGGGACAAAAAGGGGGGCGCTCTTTAGCTTCTCTTCGAACGGTTGATTTCGGGACAACCCATCTACCGTTTGGCGGCAATTGGGGCCGCTCAAAACCTGAGCCACGGCAGCCTCTTAACTTCGCTTGCCGCCAAAGGAGCTGATAGAACCATCCGCTGTGAGATGCACCCGACTCCTGCAATTCACTTTGCCCAATAATTGTCGCTTCGGAATTCTAGGACAGCCACACCCAAAGGGCGGCAAACGGCTGGCGTGTGACTCTAGGAAAAAAGGACACAAAACAAAGAAGTACATGTGTAAATGCTACCCAACAAACACCCGAGATCTCAAACCCTGGCAAGCGCTCGTTGAACAATAGTACTGAGGACAAAAATAAGGTGGCAATGCCCGTTCATTCCGCATGAAGAAGCGCTACGGCCAGATCCGAGTGCTTGAGACCAAGCATCCGGCAAACTGCCCCTAAGCCCTGAGGGAACGCCTTCACCAAGTCATGCCAAGTCTAGACATCGGCAGGCCATCAAGCAAGGCCGTCACTCAAAGCGTCAAACATCTGCCATGAGTCTCGGGCCAGTCAAGTGAGTGGCTGCCAGGGTCACCCTTCTCGCGGCGCGGGGCCTGGTAGCGTGTCAGACTTGGCCAGGAGCTGTTTGGAAGCTGCCTGCTTGGCCTAAGCGTTTCATAGAAACTGGCAGCCATGCGGAAAAATCTAAAGGGATGCTTCCCACCATTTGCGGGGCCCTGCATGCAAGGAAACCACACCACAGGAAGAGCAGTCAGACCTGGGCAAAACCTAGGGCGGGGGCCCAAAGCTTCTCGAAGTGTGCCGCCAGCGGGCTTTGCGCTGGCACTAACACCACACATGGCCTCGGTTGTTCAAGGCGCGCGACATCGGCTTCAGGACGAGTCCCCGGCTCTTGGTACGTGTCGGCCAGGTCGCCCACCGTGTCGCCCCTCAAGCGAGGGCCGACTCTGAGACTCGTGACTCGACTTCAGCCGAGGTGCAGAACCACCCGGCCGCTCTCGACCAGAGGGTCGATGAGGAAAGGGTGCTCCCCAGCGTGGGCACGCTCCTGTGTCTAGGTCTTTGCCACAAGGAGTCTGCAAAGCTGCCCCTGTCCATGCAAAATGAAGGGAACCCCGAATGGTTGGTTTCCTGCCCGTTTTTCGAAGCAACCTCTCTAAAGAGGTTCCCTAGCGCTCACCCCGTCGAATCCTTTCCCTCACGCCTGGCACTTTTTGGAGGCCCACTCTGAAAAGCCTCGGCAGCGCCTGGCATGCAAACGCGCACAGAAAGGAACAAGCTACGGCAAAAGATGTTGACAATGACCACTGTCCAGCTAGCTCCAACAAACTCATGACTCACCCGCGCTCCACTTGTTGCCCATGCCGTTTGGATGTGTGAGGGTTCCCTCACGCGGCCTTAAGGCTTAACACATCCCAAGTCCCCGCCTGAGGCGCTGTGCAGGCGCGCCGATGGCGAAGATGGGGGCTTGACACCTGAGAGAGGGGTTTACCTTGGTGACCTATACCACACAAAAAATGGCGTCACTGGGTGTGTGTGTGTGTGGCTTCCCACATCCCTCCCCCAAAACCGTTGAAACCTGAGAAGCAAGCCGCCGGCCGCGGCGACCAACCGAGCCAAGTTCCACGCTCCTCGGGCAGCTCCGAGATCCCACGGGCCAAAAACTCCACGAGGTCCTCGGTGAACGCCTGGAACCCAAAACAGGAAAGCCCAGCGCAAAACCTTTGGCTCGCTTGCTTGTGAGGAAACCCAAGCGCCTGCTCCGCGCGGATGGGCGCCAAAAGGTTGCCCCCAGCTTTCAGCACTGCCGTCGCCTGCGCGAGAAGCGGAGAAGCAGGTGACAAGCTGCAGCTCCGCCTTGGGCCGGGCCTCCGTCACAACTCGCTGCAGTTGACTCTCCATCCCCGGCCCGTTTGCTTCTCCGGCTTCGATGCCTCAATGCCGCAACGGATGCAACGGCAAAGACATATTTGGGACTTCTTGCTTCGACTCGCTTCGACCCCTTGCATGAAACCAAGGGAGGCATTGAGGAGCGCCTTTGAAGAGTCCAGCGCTGCACTTCATTCAAACGGCCCAGGCGCCTAATGCCAACACCGCGTCCGCAGAGGTCAGCGCCTGTCACGGCAGGTGCGCGTCATGGTCTCAAACACCTTATTGCGGATGATGGTCACGTTTCTCGTGAACACTTACTGAGGGTCGTCTAAAATGCACCCATTCAAATACTGTGGACAAAGTCCATTTCGCAGCACTTTGATACCATGGTTGAAACCATGATTTGCCGGTATTTTACAGGGGGAAACCAAGTCATAAACCGGGGTCTCTCTTAGAACGGTGCGCCTTTTTGGGATTTCGCCGCCCTGGCCGCCTCGCGCCTCGAGGTCCAGGGCTTGGGCGCCCGGCGCAGCGCGCAGCGAGCAGCAGCCCAGCACCAGGCGCACGCCGAAGGCGCCCAGCGTCCAGAGGCAGTCCCCCAGCGCCAGGCCTGGCACGCGCCACAGCCACCCAAGGAGTCTCTGAAAGCTGTGGCTGGCATGTCAAAAGTTGTTGCCCAGTGGCTGGAATGAAAAACATCCCAAGAAAACGGGGTGAGTCTTGATGAGTTTTTGAAGGCGGCATCGCAACACCGGGCGTCCTGCGCAGCTGGGCTTCAAGAGCACTGTGCCAAGAGGTCCCTCGAGCATCACTTCCTGGACACTTGACTTCTCACTTCTCCCATCCCGGCGCTCAAGTCATCTCAAGTCCCTCGGCCTGCCGAAAGCTGAGCTCCTCCGCCCCAGCGAAGGCCTTTGAGCCTGGCCGGCGGGGGCAAAAGGGGTGACAAGGCGCAAGGCGCGAGCTCTGCCTGGCTCAGCGGCGGCCTGAGCCACACGCGCCGTGCTGTCGCTCTGGACATAAGAATCCGCAGAATCCGCGGCCGCACCGCCAATTTTTTGGTCAGGATGCCGGGCCCGGGCGCGCCGGCAAGCGCACATGACCGCGCGGGCACGCCGCGCTTTGGCCTTCTGCAGGTCGGCCGAGCCGAGATGTGCGGCGGGCGTTGGCACTGGCTCGCTGAGGAGCTCGGCACCGTCTGCGAGGCAACTCCTTGGCTTGCGTCACCGTGTAGCTTCTGGCCTTACGGCGATGGCTTGAACATCCACCAAAGCTCGGCAGTGAATGACACGTCCAGCCCCTCGGAGTTGGCAAACTCGTTCACTGCTTTGACCACTCCTGGCCAAATCAACGTGTAGTCCTCAGCTGGCCCACGCAAGGACCAAAGATGAGCCCAACACTTCCTCCGGTCGACGGGCAAAGAAACACGCACTTCATTAGAGAGGTTGCTTATTGCAGGCCCTCAGAACACGAACCCCGCCGGTCAAGTCAAGCTTAAGCAGACAAGCGGCATGCCCGGCCATGACGCCGCCTGGGCGGATGTTCGGCCACCAGGCAGCGATGTCAGAAGCTGCTCCTTGGTAGCTGTGATCCCCATCCACGTACACCAGGTCCAATGAGCTCCTGGTACCCATGGAGCAAATCAACCAGATTCCAGCGAAGAAGCAGGAAAAATTGGCAACCCGTTCCGAATTGATTGTGACAACCGAGCTTAACCACCAAACTAATTCTTGGACACACTACACTCCTCGAAAACCCCTTGAGCCCACAAACATCCCTTTTGCCTTCAGACCTGTCGGGGTGTGTGTCTTTTTTGGGGGGGACCCTTAAAATGCGGGTTCTCTTTTGGGCTTCCCTTCAAAATCAAAGGGGGTACCCCTACAAGCTGCGCAGGTCGCTCCTGGCCACCCACTGGGCCGCCTCCTCCGAGTGCTGCACCACGTGGGTGGCCCGGCGCCGCGCCTTCTGAGTGCGCGAGAAGGCCACGTCTAGCGTGGACTGCGCCAGGCCCTGCTGCTGCTCCGCGCTCACGCCTGCCGGGTGGGGGGGGGGTGGAAGGGGGGAAGGGGAGGAGGCCCTTTTCAACGCGTCAAGAAGCTCAGCCATGTCAACGCATGGCTCATTCAAAACTCACAGTCTCCCGACCTTCCCGGGCGCAACCCCAGGCCTTCCACCCGCAAGTGGTAGGGATCCACCAGTAGCATGTGCAGGCTTGGGAAGTCCTCAAGCAACTGGGAGGAGAGCTCAGCGGTAAAGACCCCGATCTCCGCCATGCGCAAAGCCGAGCTCGGGCCTTGTAATGTTGCAAGTAGCCTTGCCAAGGTCTCAGCTGTGGTGGTTCCAAGGTCTGACCGAAACTGCCACCGCAGTAAGGTCTGTTGCGAAAGCCCTTGGACAATCCACAAAACATGAGGCATGAGCCTGTCTTAAAAAATGGGGGACCCCATTAATGGCGGTTTCCCCGTGTTAAAGGAAAACTGGCACCCTGAAACAATACAAACCCTCGCCAATGTCTGCTGAGAAGCCCTCCAAAGCCCAGGTAAGCGAGTAGCAGCGATTTGAGGCCAGCAGCAAGCTCCACAAGCACATCAGACCCACATTGGCGATCTGGTGGCATGCTCCTCACGGCTACCCTGGCAACACCACACGATGCTCCTTCGGAGCACTTGGTGTTTATTTTCCGGTCAGCAGCTCCCGCCCCCCCGACCCCCAAAAACCCAAAAGAAGTGAGACTAAAAAAGCCATCGCCTCAAGCCTCCGCGCCTTGAGGCACCGAGGCGTGGAGCATTCGGCAGTCCGGCGCCATGCTGCCCTCCATCTCCGTGCGCGAGGCCACCGAGGCCGCGAGCTTCCGCGCCGCAGCCGGCGCGACGCGGGGAGCCTCCGCCCGCGCCTGCTGCAGCAGGCGCTGGTTCCCTGCCACGGCAACTTGAGTTTCTGCGACACTTTCGGGGGGCAACAGCAGCCCAACAGCAGCCCCACATCCTGACATCCCCAGCAGTGCGCACTCCAAAAGCCCACTCCAGCCGTCCAAATCAATCCCGTCGCCTGCCAGGAGCGCGGCAGCCAGCTGCCGCCGCGCCTCCTCGCTGGGCGCCGTCCCCAAGCGGCCGAAGCACGGGGCCAGCGCCAGCGCCAGGCTGCGGCCCAGCTCCCGCAGAGCGGCGCCCAGCGGCGCCAGCGGCGCCAGCTGCGCCTCTCCACGTGCTTCAGCAACCCGTACAGTTGCACTGGCTGTCTACACGATAAAGCAGATGCCCATGACCCATGATCCCATGCTTGAAATCATGCCTTCATTGCTTTGGGCCATGAGCAAAAACCGTGAAGCGCTTCCTCGCGGCCAATGCAAGCAGAGGACAACGTGGCAATCCCGGCGTTCCCGGCCTCGCTGGTGCTGTCATTGAACACCTCAACGATCAGGTCCTTGGCTCTTGAAGCCGGCCGAGGACCATAAGAGGTGTGCGATGGTCGGCTTCAGGCATGGGATTCAAGCATGGGTCTTCGGCACTATGCTGCTTGAAAGCGAATATCGACTGCCTTCATGGTTTTATGCCACGGGTATGGTATGTTCAGCCTTGAGGTGGCAAGAACCCCAAGCTGAACGAAAGTGGTCAACATCCTGCCAGGTGAGCCCAGGAGGCGACATTCCCACGCTCCGCTGCTTCCAGGAAGTTGTCAAGGGCGGGGTCCGCTGCCACCCAAACCAATGGAGCAAGCACCAGGCACCGCATCACATGGCAAGCCCGGGAAGCCACCGCCCTGAGCCTTCTACACAGCTCGGACATCGAGCATTCGGACCGACCGCCTGCACGCCTTGCCCTGCAGTCCCGGCCTGCAGCACCGGCGCCGTGCCTAACAGCCTTGGCCTGCGGTCTGGCAGCTGCCTGATGCAACGGACAGCGCCGAGGCCAACCACTTCGCAGCTTTTGGCGGCTGGCGCCCAAATGGCGGATCGATCATGCAGAGGTCTGCCCTCTCAAATTCGGGCGCCCTTTGGCTTCGCCAAGGCGCCTGCAAAGACTAAGGCTCACGTGCAAGAGACTCAGAGAAGACCTTCCTGCAAAAACAGCTTGCCCTGTGTCAATTGGTCGACATCTTTGCCAGGCGTGGTGCTTCCCGCTGCGTGCATGAGAGGTGCAACTGTCGCTTCCGCTTGTGACAAGAGAGGCTAAACAAACTCAGGGTATTTCATGGCACTGATGATGCTGGACTGGACGGCCGCACATTCCCCAGGCATCGCAGCCCGAATTCCGGCGCTTTGTCGCCAGCTAAAGACTCACCCGCGTCGCTGGCACCACTTCGGCCCAAACGGAGCCCTGATGCACCAACGCCATTGTGAAGAACCGACCACGAAAAGTTGTCAAACGGCTCAAGGCGCGAGACAACCCCCGCGCCCGCACGCACACTGCCAAAAAGCGCCGGCCTTCTCATCATGTGGGTCCTCCTGCGGCACCTCGTCCCCCTGAGCCGCGCGAGGCGAAAGGCGCGCAAAAAGGGACGCATTTTGCCGCACCGGGCCTCGGAAATGCCCACGCCCGAGCTGGTGACTTTGTCTCGCGGGCCAGCCTGCGGCGAAACTGCCGAGCTTCATGCGATGCAATCACACCATCAGAGAGGCCTCGTTGACATCGAAGAAGACGGAAAGGGATTTGGCCCCTGGCCAGGAGTCCACCATTGCGGTGGTGTGTGCTAACCTGACGCAAGCTGGCTGGGGACGAGAAACATAGGGGCCAGAGTGAGGCGTCACGTGCCTCCACAGCAAGCCGTTGCCGTCGGATTTGGTCCGCTGCACCCTTCCACCATTGCTCTTGGCCGCCTGCGTGCACAGGCCATAAACGGGACAGGGATGGAAAGCGCTCGCCGCCTCGACGCTGAGAACGATCTTGGACCGTCCAGTGTGGGGAGTCCCGGAATCTTGGGGCTTGAGGCTGATTTCCTGGCGCCACACAACCAAAACCTGAAGCGGAAAGTGAGATAAGCTGTCCTCCCCACGGCTCTGGCAAATGCCGGCGTACAGCCGCCGCAACCTGGACAAGCCGCACGGAGGGAAAGAAAACAAACCCCGAGCCCCAACCCCGCCTTGCCCCCTTGATAGGGAACTTCCATGCGTGGAAGGCGATCAAGAGCTCGCAAAGCGGCGCCCACATGCCAATCCTGGGACAAACAACAGTGACCGCCTACCCATAGACACGATCACTGTTCATAACTTTCCGCCACTGTTTATCTTGGAATGCCTCTGCAGCCGCAGAGGCTGGTCCCTCTTCAACATGAAAAGCCGGAACTTGCCGACGCATGGCAAAGGAAGGATCTTGATGCTGTGCGCATGAGGGTGCTTCTTGACTCACCCACGGGACTGACATGCTCTGACCACATGCCCCCAGCAACACACATAAGTTCGTAGGCCGTCCCTCCAACAAAGCCAAGCTTCACAGCACGGACGTACCAGCCTGGTCGAACAGTGCATGACTCTGGCGGCCACACATGTTGAGCCCAAGGTGCGCAAGCTGTCAGGTTGCTGCTCGATCACTCCCAGAAAGCAGGTCTCTATGCACTCCTGACATGGCGGCAAGGCGGTATGGAGGGAACGCCCGTGCTGCCAGACCTTCACCACGCCGCTGGAGTCCACCAGAGTGTTCGAGAGATGCTTGCACTGGGCCTGCAAGCGACGAGACACCGGCGCTCACAGAGCCAGGGGGAGTCCTCGCAGTTCACGGTCTCCAGGCCAGCCAGGCCCAAGCCCAAGAAGGTCATGGAGGAGAAGATCGCGCCTGGAGGCGCGAGAATTGTTGCGCGCAGCTGCAAGGCTCTCACTCGACCTGCCTGCGAAGTTCTGCGTCATGGCCAGCGCTCCGAAGATGACGCCTGACGCATCGCCTGACGCCTCGCCCGACGCCTCGCCTGGCCTTCCAATGGCTCCCGGCCCGGCCTTGGCGCCTGCGGCCCGGCACGGCCCCGAAGATGCAGTCCTCGTCCACCAGCCAGCACTGTGCGGACACCCGCCTCGGCGCATCACATCCCCGGTCTTTTCAACGTGCTTTGACCAATGCCAAGCTTCCAGAAGGAGAAGCTGGCCAGACCCAGGCGGGTGGTGAAAGCCCAAAGGAAGACCTTGGCAAGGCCAGTCACGTCTTGCTAAGTGCAGCAGTTCCTAACACCCCTCTCCCAAGATCAAGAAAAACCCAGCCAAGCGACCATCAGGATGGAAGCATCGGCCCAGCCAATGATGAAAAACGTGGCAACTGCATTGCACAGTCCTTTGCTGACTGGTGTGAAGGCATGTGCAAGGCCGACGGAACAAGGCAACGGCGGACTACGCAACAAAGCCGAGTCTCGGCAGAACACGACAAACCGCAGGAGATGTCTGTCCGTCTTTCCGCTCATGTCCTGCCTGCCCAAAAGCGCTACGCACTGTCAAACTGATGCATGCCACTCACACTGCCAACCCGAAAGAGGTGACCAGAGACCAACAAACGGAAAACAAAACATGGCGAGATGTGGAAAACAAATGCCGCACCTGCCATCACCGGCGCTGAACATTCGCATGTAGATCAGGTTGAGGCTCACTTCAGTGACGCCCGCTATGAGGCCGCCCCCCACAATGACCTGCATGCGCTCCCAGCCACCGAGTCGTAGGTTGTACGTGACGTAGTAGAAGAGCGTGCTCCCTATGGACGCGCCATAGGCGCCGTGCCAAAACCTCACTCAGGCGAAGGAAATGAATTGCCGGCCAGCACCAGCCCGAGGAGTGTTCAAACATGGCCAAACCGGTCTTAAGGGAAAGATCGAGTCACTTCACGGCCATGAGGTGCCGGAAGGCCATGTTGGGCTCCTTTCCTCTGCCTGGCATCACCTGGCAAGCTCGAACTCTGAATCGCAACGGCGCTGCAGCCCAGCGCCTCCCTCAGGATGTCCAGCACACTGCCGACATCACCCGGCTCCTATGTTCGACCAAAAAAAATAAGTCTCAGAGAACGACACTGGGCAAGTCACATCGTCCAAATGGTTGATAGGGGAAAGCCTCCATGTGAAGCAAGAATCCAATGGTTTTGATTGCTCATGTCAGGAAACCATCAAAAAAGCGATGCTTGAAAAGAATGGGGAATCAACCCCATTCTAAGAAGGAGAATGCATCAAAAAAGACTTCCCCACATCACCCGCGCCTCAGCCTCCGCCGCCTTGGGCTCCACCTTCGCCTCTCGGAAGATGGGCACCGCCTGGCGCTTGCCCGAGGAATTGTCCGACTGGAAGGCTCCGGGAAGCCCCCGGCCTCGAGGCTCACCAAACCGAACAAAAGGATGTAGAAGACGAAGGCCAAGCGGTTCAACATGGAGGCGTCCTCATGACCAGCTTCGCGTGGCTCGCTGAGTGCGGGCTCGCGCCAGCAAATGACTGGGCCTTCTTTATGAAGCACACTGTGTGCTCTATTCTGCGTGCCCTTTATTCCGCAGAGAAATGAGGGTCTGTCAAGTGCTATGGACGTCCTGGGGTGAGCAACAGATATATGTCACGAACCCCTGTCTTTTCCCTGCTTGCCCCATTCACTTGAAACAGGGTGAGTGTCCAATTCCACACTTAAAAGTTGGCTGAAAAAGGGACCCTAAACCCTAAACAACTCGCCGTTTTGCTGCCCAAGGCTCGGCCAACAGGACAAGGACGGGGATGGCTCCACAGCCGCCGCCCATCATGCAGGTGTACTTACAAAGGCCTGGCACTCGGAATAAGCACAGCAGAGGTTGTGACGCGTCAGACGGCGTTCCTGTGCAGCTCGGCGAATTGGGACCAACGGGGAAATCACCATGTATCCCCCCCCCCACCCCATGCTTTCATTTTTGACCCCACGCCATGCTTCCCTTTTTGACACGTACCCACGTTCCCATGCAAAAGGCAAAAGCCTTCTGCCAATCGCACACGCTGGATCAACCATCGGTGCCTTCCACCACGATTCGCTCCTCCTTGTAGGGATAAATCTCCTTGAGTTGGCCCGCATCACAGTCGCTGCATCCCGCATGGGCATGCAAGGCGCATCAGAGCCAAATGCTGTTCTTTTTTTTTGTGTGTGTGTGTGTGTGTGTTCTTCCGGCAGGCTCCATGTTAGGGAGGGTGTATAACTTCAGCTGAAAAAGCGCAAATCTAACGTCTCTTCTCGGCGCAAGCTCCTGACGAGCAGATTCAAAGGCGATGACGCAGGATGCGGCGCCCCAGTAGGCCAGCATCAACGTCGCTACCTGCAATTTGACACGTAGTAATGGCACTGCACGGCAACAGGGTAGCGACGGCGCCGCAGTCTGACTTCTCTCCAAGATGCAAACCAGGTCTCCAGAAATCCTGCAGACCCGCCTTAGCGCCACGCGGATGCAAGGCCCCCCCCCCCTAGCACCCGGAAAATGCACCGTGTGATGGTTTCCACTTCCCCTCAACTTCCCCCAGGATTTCAACTTGATACACAACAACTGGGAGATGTTTAGGAGGAGTGGCGTTTTACGATTTGGAGGTGGAGCCTGCAGCCTGCGCTGCGCACCCACCGAGCGGCTGGGCGGCATGAAGACCACACTGGCCGCACAGGCCGCGATGATGCAGTGCGTCAAGAGCCACGGGGCTCGTTTGCCCCAGCGCTCGATGGGGAAGAAGCGAGACAGCATGCCTCTGTCCTGAAGAGCCAGGGCCGCTTTTGATGTGTGTCACCAAGCAGGCGGAACACCCAAGGGACAAAACTTGCCTGAGGCAGTTGGATTGCAATCAGTGTAATCGGGCTGATTGGGAGAAAGAAAAAGACAAACGGGGGAAGCGGGCTGACGCCAGCCCGCCCAAACTGTGCTGCCTTTGACAAAAGGCATGGTGGATTTTGGTCGGCTCGACTCAGCTGCTGACATCTGACTGGGTTGCTTCTTTTCTGCGTTTAGGCTTTACGCAGCTGTCTCAACTCGGCATGCAAGGCAGACTGCTAACCGCTGCTAACCCCCTTAGCTGATGGGCTTATGACTTCACTTGGTCTGGGCAGCCAACCAAACGCCTTACGAATGAAAGAACGACATGCTGCAGCGCTGCAGCGGCTGCAGGTGTGTGCCGAAAAGAAGCAAGGCTTGTAAATATACATCTTTGTTGTGGGATCAACTCCTCAAACTGAGGCTTGCCCAAAAATGAGTTGGACGTCAAATTCTCTCCCCGGAGGCATGGGCTGAGTCCTGCAGGTGGCCCACCAGGAATTCCGTGAAAGGGCTCCAAAATGAGAGGACGGAGAAGAGGAGGCCGATTGCAGTTGCATCCGCGCCGAATTTCTCCAGGTAGACATCTTTCGCAGACCCGATGATGGCTAGAATGTGGAACAGGCTGAACAAGGACAAAGCAAAGCGAAATTTACCTCAGCTTCCAGAGCCAGGCACGGAAACCTTCCCATGTGCCAGCTGACACAAATGGTCACTCAATCGCGCCAAGTGGCGAAGATAAGAATGCCCTGAGTGACCATGTGGCTCTTTCAGTTGGGTTCGCAACCTGCTGAAACAACCGCGGCTTGGCGGGGACGCTCCATCCATGGCAAGCGGGGTGCGAGGGCACACTTCTACGTTGCCCAAATGGACAAACAAACAACAAAGCGGTGCAAATACAAAAAGTCGATCAAACACCTGCCCGCTAAGCTAAGCATTTCACCTACTCAGCCTTGCACCAGCTGACATTGGCTCTGTGAAGGATCGGATTGCGGCCCCTCAGGCACACTATGCCCTCCAAGTGTTCAACGAGCGGGTGATGTGTTGACTGTATGAAGCGCATGCTGCGGATGTGAGCACAGACCGAAGCGATGCGCTCAGCAAGCCAAAAAAAAAAAAGAGACTTGTGACAAGGCATGCATCAAGTCCAACCCAATCAAATCCAATCCTATCACAGCCAATGCTACCACATCCAATCTGACCGACAAAAAGAGAAACACAATACACGCAAACCACAACGAACACCTGCCAAATCAAAAGCACAACACGCAAACGACGTGTACCCACAGGCAAACTCACATGTTCACCCACCCACCCACCCACCCACCCACCCACAAACACAAACACAAACACAAACACAAACACAAACACAAACACAAACACAAACACAAACACAAACACAAACACACAAACACACACACAGACACACACACAAACACACAAACACACAAACACACAAACACACAAACACACAAACACACAAACACACGCATGTCCCTCCCTCCTCTCCCTCCCTTCTCTGGCCCCGCCGGCACAGCTGCGGCCATCCCTCCACCGAGGCCCAGCCGGCCACCAGCACTGCATCCAGCGCGGCAGGCGCCACTCCCAGCTGCGCTAAGGCACGCCCTGCGCAGCGTCGGGCACGGGCGCTTTGGACCAACCGAAGGGAACACTGCCTACACAGGTTACCCTAAAAACCGGTATGTCTGCTAAAACCGAAGGAAGTTTAGTAAGAGAACTTCCGTAATACGAAAAATTGAATCACAAGATCCGGACGCACTTCTAAGTGAGGTCAGCACGAAAAATCGCGAAGGGTACCTGTTTGCTGCGTGCGGTCTTGCCACGGGTTCGCCACGGTTCGCCACGGGGGCGGAATGTGGCCCACTGGAATGCTCGCGCAGACGTTTTCGGAAGTCCAGTTTGCGTGGCAGGCACAGCACTTTGGCAACCTAAGGTAGAGGCTTCGTGGCAGACACTTTGCGCCCGTGCAAGGTCAAGTACAGATTTCGTGGCAGGCGCAGCATTTTTGCAAGAGTGCAGATTTCGTGGCAGGCGCAGCACTTTCGCAAGGTCAGGTGATGGATAGATAGATAGGTAGATAGATAGATAGATGGATGGATGGATGGATGGATGGATAAATGGGTAGATAGAGAGATAAATACATAGACCAAATCGGATGACAGAGAGAGAGAGAGAGAGAGAGAGAGAGAGAGATGTCAAATATCATGTTGCACTACTTGTCACTTGTGCATGCATGATGTACACTACCCGTGCATGCTGGCTGACTACATTTGTGTTTGTGATAACTGAACAACACTTGCACTAGAAGTAAAGTATCAACGTATTTTAACGTGGTAGCGGAGCTGAGATCCTAAACATAGGGGAGCTCCAGTAACAGCAGTAAGTACTACAACTGCACAGGCAACCAACATGCCCAACTACTACGACATGTCAGGAGAACCAGCAGCAGCATCAGCACAACCAACTACAGGAGCAGACAACGGGCCCACAGCAGAAGAGACAATAGGAGCCACGACTACGGGAACAACACAGGAGCAGCAAGACGTCCAAAGGCTACACAAATACAAACTGCCACCACCGTTCTTCACTGGTGACTACTCACAGTATGAAGAGTGGCTGTTCAAACTACAAGCATATCTCGGACTTATCGACCAAGACTTCGACATGGTGCTACAACTAGCACAAGCAGCTACAAGACAAATTGAAGATGCAGACATCAGAGCCCACATGCGCGACCCTACACAGGCAGCAAAAGCAGTAGACCTCTCACGAGATCTACACTACATCCTCATCAACATCTGCCAAGGAGCAGCAGCTACAGTGGTTAGACAAAACCGCTACAATGCCAATGGATGTGAAACACTACGGCTTTTGCACAACAGGTTCAGCCTACCAGTAGGAACGCGCAGTGTTGGCTACCTCACCAAACTACTGGAACCTACATTCAATGAAGCACAATTTGAAGAACAATTCCTACAGTGGGAATACGACATCAACCGCTACGAGAAAGACAACGGCACAGCACTACCAGATGGAGTAAAGATTGCAATACTACTCAACAAGACCAAAGGAGCACTCCAACAGCATCTCCAACTACGTGCTGGACAGATCACGAACTACAACGAGATCAGAGTTGTCATCCTGGACTACTACAAAACCATCTCTGCATTCTCAAGAGCGAGCTCAGCAGTTGGCACAAACTACAATGGTGGGACAGCACCGATGGACGTGGACAACATTTGGAGAAAAGGAAGAAACTACAAAGGCAAAGGCAAATATGGAGGCAAAGGACACTACAAAGGAAACAAAGGAAAAGGTAAGTACAGAAGCAAAGGCCACTACAAAGGATTCGACAAAGGCAGCAAAGGAAACTACAACAAAGGAGGATACAACAAGAACAAAGGAAAAGGCTACTCAGGATCCAAAGGACATGGATCAAGCAAAGGCTACAAAGGCCAAGGAAACTACAGCAAATCAAAAGGAAAAGGAAACAACAATTACACAACATGCCATCGATGTGGCAAACCAGGCCACTGGGCACAAGACTGCAGAGTGCCAGTATGGCACATAGGAGAAGGAGAAGAACTACATCCACTAGAACAAGAACAAGCAGATCACGACAACAATGAAGAACTACCTCAGGATGTGAACGACACTTGGGACTGGTACTACGAAGGAGAAGAAGGACAACACGAGGTGAACTACATGGAGGAGAACTGGAACGACTACGACTATGACAACAGCTGGGATTGGAATGACAACAGCTATGAGGACACTGCAAACTACATTGGAGGCATCAACGAGTCACACCTCACAATTGGACACATCAGACAAGCAAACTCACGACTACACAAGCACAAATCACTACTTGGCAAGAGAACAACACACACAACATCATGGAACGACCACAGCAAGAGCTTTCAACAATTCCTACAAGAAGACAACACACAGCCACACTTTGATATAGCAGCAGCCAGACAACAACAAAGGAACAAGAAGATTGAGAACACTATCACACACTACATCATGTACTCCAACTTCAAGTCATACCACCACCTGCTGATCGACTGAGGAGCGTCTACACACGTTTGCCCGAAGGACTACGCACCAGACCTACCGCTACGACCTTGTGGAGAATCGGTTCCACAACTCTACACGGTTACCAACAAGAAGATTCCTGTCTACGGCATCAAGTACGTTCCCTACAAGCAGGACAACTTCAGGATCATGATACCCTACTACGTTTGTGATGTGAAGTACCCAATCCTCAGTGCATCAAGACTACTTGATAGAGGATATGGACTTGACTTCACTCCACGACACTGCACCATCACACATGGACAACAACAAGCACACCTCATCAGACACTCAGGACTTTTCTACCTACGAGCAGAGAAGATCGACATCCCTACAGGATTCGACATCTACCAATGACTACAGACAGTGGAAAATCCATTGCTGTGATTCAACCTACAGAGAGAGCAGCACAACAACAAGAACAAATCGCACCACTCACACACACAGACCAAGGACTACGACAGATCCTTGGTGGAAACACTGACTACTGGAAACTTGATGGTGACTACGCCATCAGAGTACACAAACGACCACGCAAAGCACTATTCACACCACACAACAGTGGTTGCCCAATACCTGAAGAAGAACTAGATGATTGGCGACTAACCATCATCAACAGACAAGGGCAAGAGCAAGAACAACTACAAGAGAACCCAACACAACTTTCCAAGCAAGAACTACAACGAAGACTAGAAGGTGACAACTGGACTGGAGAAACCAGATTCAGAAGAAAGATAACACCTACACGCAGAGCAACATCAAAGACCACACCAACAAGGCAGAGCTCACAACCACAACGGCTAATGGACACACCACCAACCAGATCAAAGATCCAACTACGAGCACCACAAAAGATATGGAGACCTAAAGCAGCACCTTCTACAAATCTTGACACCACACAACCAAAGGAGACAATCCACAGACCACTCACAGCACAGGAGGACAACCAAGACTACTGGGAAAGACAAGGTGAACACTGGATAAGACACCACACAACACTTAGAACAACTCTATTCACTCCAACAGATGGACCAGGACATCCACCAATCAGCACACTTGAACCTCACAGAACTACAATCACTCACAACAACTTTGGAGAAGTTTCACAACGCAAAGATGACTGGACAGTCATGGGCAACGCAGCACTACCATTTCAATGGAAAGGAACAACAAGGTTCACCGTGAAGAAAGACTACGAGTACATCCAGGAGAACCACGATGAGGAACAACAACACGAGCATCATGAAGCACACAGAGCAATAGGACTACGACAACCTCAGCAGCCCACTCCACAACAAATAGCAGAACACAACTTGACACACCTACCATACAGAAATTGGTGTCCAATTTGCGTTCAAGGCAAAGGACGCCAGGACAACTACAAGAAACAACAATCACGACAACCCATCATCCAAGTGGATTTTGCCTACATCAAATCACAACAAGATCCGAAGACCATACCAGTCTTAACGGCAGTTGATGTTACTACACAACTGTGCATGGCGGTATTGGTTCCGGACAAACCATCAATGATGGACTACATGATCAACAACCTACAAGCATTCATCTTTGAATGCGGAAGAACACACGGCATACTACAAAGCGACAACGAAGACACACTCAATGCACTACTACAAGCAACAGCATCTAAAGTCGGCTCAATGACTGTACGACATTCACCATCCTACAGCAGCAACAGTCAAGGAAGCGTTGAGCGACTACATAGAACA